CCCCAAAACCCCAAAACCCCAAAACCCCAAAACCCCAACACCGTAATAATTTATATAAATTCTATGGCAGACTTCCTATCAATCTGGGGTAAAATAGAGACTAACTCAATCATTCTTTCTTACTACGGGAGATACAAGGACTGGTTACGTATAATGCTGCTTCTCTGAAAAACCACAAACAGCCTATTCGTCAAAAACAAGGACATTTACTTGACCAAAGGTAAGTGACTCAACCCATTTATTTAGAGAAAATAACACTCTGGGATGACTCTGAAGACATTGAGAAATACCTTGAACTCTTCTCAAACAAGAAGAACAGGCTAGGAGAGAACTGAAAAATAAACCTAGAATTATCTAACGAGTCTTCTCAGGAGTTGCTCAGACTTCTTTCTGAACTCAATTTTCCAACATTTAATCCGTTCTCGAGATACAGTAAATAAGTGACTAATGGTTTAGTATATGAATCCGTTACTATAACCAACCTGGACTGCACCTCAACATCATTCAGGAAGGATATCGCATACTTTTTGCACCATTGCATACCAAAATACATAAAATCGTTAACACTTGGAGGAGGCGAGAAATACCCACAGATAAACTCTTTCAGAGTCCCTCTTGTACATTCTTTGCCAAATGTGTGAATCTCAGTATGCATCCGAGCAGTCAAGCTGAATGATGACCTTCTTCAAGCAATCTTGGAAGGCTCAAGAAACTGTCGTGAGATCACAATCTCTGACTGCATCTTAAATCTTCGCAAAAAGTTTAAAATTTAGTACAGATTTAGAGTACAAATACACCAAAGTCATGCTTCTTGGGTAAAAATTAAGTAAAATTTTAGTGATTCAGATAAATTGAATGATAGAGTCCTTGAAATCATCGGCCAAAAGATGGCTTTAACGAACCTAAAATAGCACTCTAAACTACATAGGTAACTTAATGTCCTTACAATTAGAACTGAGCTGCAGTGACTGTAACCTAACTTACATTCAAGACCTTTTTCATATCATGGGATTTAAGAATCTGTACGTGCATTGAACCAGCACTGAAACCAATAATAAAGAGAGTTATGAAGATTCACCATCCACTTAGAAGCCTATAGGGACCTCTAACAACAACTCCCATGTTTATTTATTTACAATAAATCTGATTAATTCCGGGGTTTTGGGGTTTTGGGGTTTTGGGGTTTTGGGG